TCGCCAAACACGACTTTTCAGTTGTCAACAAGACACGGATGCTAATTTTTACGGATTAAGCGCGTAAGAGACGGATCTTAATTTCAAAAGTGTCTCGTGTCGGAAAATCAAAGGTCGTCTCAAATCCCATGGATTTTGATGCACCGAAAACATGCACGCTTTTTGTAGTGCTTTCACATTCAAAACCAAAGTAATCAATGGAATTTCCTTTTAAAATAAAGCGTGGATTATGAAGACGGAAGATTATATGCAGGTATAAATGGCGTTCCCACGACTTTATATTTCAACATAATATAATTTTCGGAATGGGCATGCCGCCCTCTTGCACTCACACTGCAGGTATTACAAAATCACCAAAATTAGCAACTCTGACGGAAATATGTACGCAGAATCGTGAAATGACTCAGACAGAATGAACAGCCTTCTTTATAATCAAGCGCATAGTATAGGAAATTGAAAGAATGAAAGTCTCTGAACCTAATTTCTACTTCAAGCATATTGAAAGAAAACGTTCACTCACTTTTGTCGGGGTGATTTTGCTTTGAATCCAATCAATCAATCCATGTAAATTCGTCATGCAATCATATCAACCTGACGAGTGCTGACTCGCGAATCTTTGATCAGTCAGACAACGCTGCTTTGACACAAACAGGATGTAAAAACCTATGCTAATATTCAACCGCAATGTACAGGGAAAATTTATGGGAATTCACGGTAATGCAAAGAGCGGTGGTATTCCCAAAACTTCCTCAATATGGGTCAAACCTATGAGGCCATGAAGTTATTTAGAAAAATTTCTACGGCATGCAATTTCAGGTGTAATTTTGGCCCTTTGACAGATGCCAGGGAGTGGTTAAGTTCCTGATGTTCTGATAAGGGCACCTTTTACATCGCAGTATTTGAAACTATTCGCTCGTTTGCATCAATTGAAAGAAAACAGCAGCAAGGATTTTGAGTGCAAGATATTTCAAACTTGAGCTACCGTTTTGGACACTTGAAATTGTCATCAAAACGAATAAACAAGCGCAAGTTTACACATGAACACTGAATGAAAATTGTCAGAAAAAATCGGAAAAGGAGGAAGTTTTCTTAATATTTACGATCGTACCGGAGGAAGAATAACGATAGTTACATTATACGTATTTTTTATGTATAATTGCACACGACTTACCTTGACCCTCGTAAATTGCAGTTCGGCGGATGTTATCGAGAGCGTTATTCGAGTTTATTTGAAGAGTGATATTTTGTCACATGGGAATCTCGTAACATCGGGAAAATGGTTGGAATATTATCAAGAATTATAATAATATCGTTGACTCATACAGGAAAGTACAAACAAAGTTCTTTAATTAAAGTCTTTGTTGAAAATCAGTGAAATAAAAGTGAAACAGTGCTGGACTCTTGTTACCTATATAGGATAGCGGAAACTTTCCCGGTCTTAAAGAAAGCTCATTTTAAAGACACGATTCTTAAATTTTAATTTATAATATACAATCACTGAAATTTTGCGCATGCAGTGTCGAACTGAACATTGACTGTATTATACCTTTAATTTCATGACTTTGAAAGATTCCATTGACAGTAAACCACTTAGACATTACTCATTAGCTATATGGTGTAATAGTTTTGTATGAAAATCACGCCTGACCCTGGCTGGCACTGAATATAGTGCCTTTCTTGCCCTTTCATGAAGATCTACCCTAATTTTATATTAATAATTTCTTCCAGAAAAAAGTACCAGATTATAATATTTTTAGTTTCAGTTTAAACCCCCACGTCACACTGATCAAAGTTGACGGAAGTTGATCAATGACTGCTGAAGGCGATATGCGGACCACAAAAGGATTTGTGATTGGAACTTCTGAATTTTGGTTAAAACCTCTTAATGAGACAGAAGTTGTCGCAAGGAAAGTGTGCATAAAGAATGATGAAGTAAAGAGCTTAATTCAGATGTTGGCTCTTTCTTGCTGCATGTATAACTTCAACGAAAGGTTTGAAAAAAGAGGAAGAGTTTTATAAACCTGAAACCCAGTTTTCAGAACCTCGGAGTACATGCTAAATATATAGGCTATGCCTATCAACTTGCTGCAAGTGCGTTTCCGTCACCACTAAAAAACAGACTATCCATTTTAACACTTTAATCCGATTAGGCAAAGTTTAGACTAAACGGTCAGATAACAGATCTTGAGACAACAGTGGAAAATACATACACACGCCCCAAAGGAATTTGGTTCATTACGCGCGGTTGTTTACCATATAATATATTTCACGTGGAAATGTGTTTATGGTTTTGCTATAATGGTAGGCGAAAAAATATGTGCAAATTTTGAAAACAATACTGTAAATTTTATAAAAATTTCAAGATTGCGGCTCTGTGTAGAGTTGCTTCTTAACGTTTTCACATGCCTTGAGGGTGATTTAGACAGAATTTACAAGAAATGCCTCCACTTCCAGACTATGCATGATGATGATAGCGATATTAATATTACTGCTGGAGTGTTTGTTTTCATACCGCCAAGTCTTAATACAAATCTTGGTTCTGAAATCACCGCGATGATAAGGCTGGAATAGTGAAAATCGTGCATGACGAATTGTAAGTGGAGCCATATACCGATATGGTACGGCTTCGCATGCATGAAACGTTATAATCGCTAAGGGAGACCAAAAAAATTACTGTTGTCTGTTGAGCCGTACAAATAGAAGTCTATGCATTGATATATTATAGAAGTCTTGCTGACTTTAACGGAACCGAAACTTCAATGTCGATGGTGAACAAGCTATATATGTGCAATAGATTAGATCTCGAAATACAGGAAAATGAAAAAAGCGACAACTTTTTCATGAAAGAAATCATCTCAGAGAGTAAACAGTTATTCTTATTTATAAAAGTCTATACTATATATATGTATATATAAATAATATAATATGCATAATAGATACTAATAAAGTGTTATTAAGTGTAATTCATATAAATATATACAATTGTACAATATCACTACAGTAAATGTCGATCAGTGTCGACGATGCGTGATTTTATTTAAAAGTTTAAAGAAAGCTGTGGGTATTTTTCTGAGAGAAAATGTTTTATACTTATATAGTCATGGCAAAAAGCTTGAATTTAAAAGCGAGGGAAAAGCAGCCACTCATATAGACACATATATAGTAAGCAATACGCCAAAAGATTAAACGTACAGGCTTAGTTATAAAATACTACGATCTGTCCAAATGGGAGACTGACGAAAAAAGCTATTAAAATGGCCGAATGCTGCACGACCATGCAGATATTCAGTTTAATTTACTTAGGCGGATGTTTCTTGAACAATGCTTAATGGCAATCCTCAAATGTGAAATGATCATAACGTACATTTTGTTTACATCGCAGGAAAAGATCGACTAAAGAAAAGTATAACTTATTTATACAAGATTAATTGCAGGGACTATATTTGCATTAAGTGCATGCATGATGGCATTTTTATATCAAACATGTAATGGTTCTTCATCAATATGCTTTCCATAATAAACCCTAAGATTTTTGCATCTTTTTTAGACGAACGAAATATCTAATTGCAAGAAAGACCTCTAAGGCTATATATATACTGTATACAGCGACTGCAATATTAAAATTGACTTGCTTCTCAACTACTATGAAAGCTATATAAGCATTGTTACCATTTGTGAGCTATTTTGAAAACGCGACAGGGCAAAATGCCAGCGCCCGCCAAAGACGACAACATGTCACCACATATATATATTGTATAAAAGTAACTCTGGCATTTGCCAACGCACTACGTTCGGTGATTGGTCAAGGCAATACGATTGTCTGGCAACACTTCGCCAAGCGGTACATGCCCGCCTCCTGTCAATATGTCGCTGTCACAAGCACAAGTAATTAGCTGAATCAAGGGGAAAGCGAATGTGAAAAATACAGTTCGCAACACCGCCAATACCAGCGAGACGTATATCGAAGTCCTACATCAAGGAAACGCCGCGTTCAAACTTTACACACAACGCCATATGATGCTGCTTAAATAACTAAATCTTAGCACCGAGGCAACGCTGTGTAGAGCTACGCGTATAAGCTATAAACTTCATATGAAAAACTTCCTGCACTTATATAAACTTCGCGGCATTATCAACACGAAATATCGAAACGTTCGAAATTACAAAACGACGTGCACAACTTCACGGTTATTACTGCATTCACTAAAAAAGCGCGTGGCCGCTAAAATCACAATATATACATACAAATGCGTACTAAATAAGTCCATCAATTTGTTTCATGCGAAATGCACGCACGAGTGCCATAGATGTAACCATTTCACGCTGCCCTTATACTTCCGATGAAATACAAAGCGATGATCAAGTTATAAATATCGAACCGCACGTTTGAGAGCACTATTCATATATGTATACTGAGTTTGCTTCCAAACGCATTGACCTTGGAATAAATATTGTTTGGTTTTTACACGCAGGAAAACATCTTCATATTTATAATAAGCTGGCTGGAATACTCGAATACGCTGTGAATATTTTATGAACACGCATGTTTTCGCATAATTACAAGCGAGATTGAGTGTGTTAACGGAAAATTATGCCAGCAAATGGCGGTTAGTACGAAATCACTTTATAGACCTTGCAAGCAGTGCACTCCCAGGGCATTTCTGGAGCAGTCTACGTACACAGACGGACCGAAAAAGGTCGCGATACCAGGGTCGAGTCTGTACATTGTCACCGATCAAATATATGCGGGTTTTGAAAGGCACAAGACGAAACCACAACTAGCGTTACGCTCGCTTTCGCAAACATGTAGCAATTGACCTAAGTGTATGCTTGGTGGGATAAGACACAAAAGCATTCTTCTGTGACATCTATCATAAACTGACCCCGACGGCAAAAACAATGCATTTTGGACAAAGACCGGCTAAACAATCGTTCAGAACAACACGCGTAAAGCTCGGTTACCCAAACACACGGAATATGATGTATACATACACACTTACCTTTTGCAACCAAAATTCCAGCGAACAATTTCTTTCGTCGCTGTCGTTCGACTCGACCGAAGCACAGTTCTGCAAATCGTCTGGCCTTTCCGGACTCGCACTGGGCCGTATGATTCTCTCCAAACTCGCCAAAGTCTGCAATTGAAAGACGGTTTCAAAATGTAAACATACATACGAAGTATATCGGATATTCCCTTCCTTGTGCTGCGAAATACAAGCACGGATGCAAGAATGTTGCGAACGATGTTTTCAAATTGCTGAATATATAATCACACCCACAACAATCGGAAACAGAACTGATCAGATCTTTCATATATATTTATGCAAGGGGGTATATGATAACAGGATCGAATAATACCTTGTCATGAGCTCGATCGTAAACGATGTATGCAAGCACGAAGGAGCGATCGAAATTATCCCCGTCGCATTGCGAAGGTTCGCAAGCTACGATAACCATTCTAGGCGAATCTTCGTCGAGCATATTGAGCAAGGACGACTTATACGGACGGCTGTAGACCTGCGACAATTACGCTGCGCTTCGCTCAATGCAGCAAATATCACTGGCAACGAAGTCACCTGAGCCGACGAAAACAGGGCTTAGCAGATGCGATGAAATATCAGCAAGCTCGCGCGTTCTGATTGGCTGCGACGCGCGCTAGGGGTTTACCAATGACACGTGGATGCGGAGATCTGAATGGCTCTTCCTGCCAAGGAAACCACGGCACGGTGTAGCAAGGGGTAATCACTACACACGGCTCCGCGGGAGGCGTTTTATTGTGTTTTGTATTCATATCAGTTCGTCGCTAACAACGAGATAGTGTCACGCATATCGGGCTTGCATGCACGGAGTGAACTTTTCACTCGAAGCTCCTTCGGATTTCGTCAAAACATTCGAGCCAATATTCCTGTCAGAAATCGCTGACAAGCATTAAACCGGACTGCATACACGCGGAACGGAACGCATTCGGATCGAAATGGATGTAAACAAAAGCAGGGTTCTTGTATACCTGATCCTTGTCATGTAATGTAGCCTTTCAAAACGAGATTCACGAAATAACAACTAATGTAAGATCATTTCCGATCGAGCTCGGTGTCATCAACATGTCCAGTTTCAATTTCTTCCTTCATTTTACGTCATGCAGACCGCAACAAACAACGGCTGGCGGAAACCTCGCAAGAGAGAGTGGATATTTGTGCATAAGCCGTAACGTCTTAGCCTCACCGGATTGGCTTTCCCAGTGCGGTGTACACGCGAAACTGTCAATCTGATCTTAAGCAAAAGGCATTCTGATAGATAGCATTCAGCAAACACACGAGCGGGTGAATTTCAGTGCAAACCTATCTCGGCAGGCAACTCTACACCAATGTTGAAACAATTAACAGGAAATTATGTCATCCTAAATTATTTCCAAACTAAGCACCACAATAAATTCGCTTATGCAAAACAATCGTTCACTCGGAATAAACAGAGTGTTACTGTATCGAACTGATCGAAGTACTGAGAAACTCAGAAGAGGAAAAATCGTGGATTTTAATCCTCCAAATATATAGTGTTGCGCGCAATATATATATATATATATATATATATATATATACTTTTTCTCATCAGGTCTCTATATTCATTGACCTATGCGCTTGCAAGGACTCGGGACTCAGATGTTACGAGATTTTGCTCGGTTATACCACCTATTAATCTTCGCCAGCAAACAATTCAATAAAAAGTAGGAAAGACATGCTCCGAAAAACAAAATCTTGTATAAACGTAAGATATGTTGTTTTATATAAAACAGCATAACAATTTGCGGTGGTAATTCGGCGACTCTATTTCAAAGTCATTCTCAAAACAATAAACGTTTCAGTCAAAATATCACCGCTAACTGTTGTCTTGTTTCATAAAACTCATATCTATCATATCTCGAGTTTACAAAATGTTGTTTTTCGGAGCACGTTTCTTATAAATTTAGTCTAGACGTGTCTCAGATGGAGAGGACGCGAATTTCGCATTTTCTTTTTTTTAAAAATTCGCGTTTCATTGTGTTGTGCAAACGGGCTCAGTTTAATTTTGCGAACTCGCAAAGCTAATTTAGCTCTTGGTGAAAAGCGATCCGCCGTCTAACACGCTTAAGCTTGCGATGATCTGATGATGATAAACTGTTATTGTACCACGTTTATTTTGTCATGTAAGCCTATTATCACGTTGAACGAGAAAAATACGAAAAACCAACCAAAAAAAACGAGAAGCTGAGCACGCAAACATAAAGCATACGCGTCAATTATTCACTATTTATAAGAATCCTGCGGTTTTAGAGCAACGGGTGGTGGTGCAAGAACGAATTTTAATAAATTTACTTTTTCTAAGCTATGAGGCGTTTCTGCATTCATGCATAATATATTTTGTCCGCGGTTTAGACCGAAGTTTCTTCCTGAAAGAGTGTTTGGAAGTTGCTTGCATGTACGAGCGAAAGACTACAGCGTGATCAGTCGGAACAAAGCTCTACAGAAACACTCGAAGGGTGACCAAAAGCAAGAACAATCTAGAGTTTCGAGGAGTTGCACTTTTAAAACAATAGCTTATTCTAGATATTTCAATAACCTTTGGAAACCTGACCGATATACACTTCAATAATGGAGAGCATGAATGCATGTGTTACTGTATATTTTTCATACTGCCATTAAGGAATGATTTGCCAAATGGAAAAATAACAAATTGAGCTCTGAATTGACCTTAGCTACTTTTATTTACACACCGAAGGTCGTAATCGTTTTAATTTTTCTTTCTGTATCGAGAAGTTCAGAAGAGGTCATCAAAACAATAGGATTTGGTGACGTCCGTGGTGATACGGCAGGAAGAATTATACTCGTGCCACTATCCAGGTTATTTTCATCGGAAATGGCTGGATATTGCGTATGAACGATAAATCGTATCGCCTGATGTATTCTATCGCACGAATGCTGCGTGCGTGATAGCCACGTGCCCTGGCGAATACAGTTGAACTTTTCTCCAGAGCTACAAAATGTGAATCGTCGCTTAGGTAGAGATAATGTTTCAGAGGCATTAATTCAATTATCAAACAACTATATTAAAAGCTTTTAATCAAAGATAGTAGCCCCTGGCAACTTGGAAAGGTTTATTAAACATCGCAACGTAATCGTTAGCTGATAATTATTTTGAATGTCTATTTTGTGCTCAATGACAAAAAAGCAAGTCTCAAATTTCTCAGAAGGGTAAGGCCAAGAGAAAGTGTAGCTTCTGTTTACCACCCATCGGGCCACATGTGCTTGCGTACCGCCAAAATGTTTTTTGCCCTAACCACTTTCATTATTTGTCATTATTTTTTATTCAAATACATTTGCATAGGCATTAAATCCGTGATATGGAAAATAACTACCTCGCTGATGTCGCTCGGATTTGTTCGGTAGAGACTCGGAAACCTCCAATTCTGGCGGTCGTATTTTATTACGACTGCTGATCTTTTGAATAGGTGGAACGCTTCCAAATTTCTATACCGTACTAAATTCATACAGTTGAAAACAGACGACAAATTGCTTTAATAGCAGTATTCTTTGGCAAGCATATGTGTGCATTAGTCGCAACGTTTAACGATACAATTACTTAACTGAATCTCTTTCAAGAATATTCATCTAATTCAGTTCACAAAAGTTATGAAAACCGCGATTTGATTTGACAAGTTTAAAAGTTACACTTAACGTCCCTTTTTCAGTAAAAACATTTCGAAACACTGGGAGGACACAAATATGATAGAAACACAAAATTCTACAACTGTAGAAGGTCTAGAGGTCAAAGTCGACACGAATATAATTATTCAGTTTATTGTTTTAGGATTCATCGTTTACAAAGCACGCAATTTCCTGAGCTGTACTTGTTAACGCTACATGGAAATACAATTCATTGTGTGTTTATACGAGACAGAATCTTTTCAAAAGTATAGCGTTGTCAGACGGTCGAAAATAGAAAATAACAGAAGTAATGAAATATATGTAAACTAATAGCATTAGATATTAGCGAGCTAGCTCTATCTTTGGTTCACCTATATTGCACTCGTGATTCGGTTAATCTATTGTCAATGGAGTTATCGTATTTGTTAGGTTCGTGATTTCTCAATACTATTAATTAAACTAGCGCGGTGGAAGTCAAATCTGGACTGAACCTCGTCAATTCAAAATTGTCGTACGGTAAACGGAATCTACAATTCCCATGTGCATTTGATCCAACGTCGGAAGTCAATGAAAGTGCTTATATTTCATTGACTTTTACACCGAAAGATAACACTAAGTGAAGGATATTGCTCATCTAGATGAAATTGTAGCCGATATATCTGATTTATTATCTAACCACGCTTCTTGAACCCTTGCTATATAGGGGAGTTGAATAAATTGGATAAGTTATTGTGGTTATTTACATATTCAGCAAAAGTTGGGAGGGGCTAAAGCCCAACCCTAGCTATATATAGATATTAATATACAGCCAATTCAAAAGCAACTAAGGTCCATTCGAAAGTTGCAATGAATTGTTATTGATAACGAGATGACAATGCATGACGGGACGGTTTTGGGGAGGAGCTCTTTGTTGAACGTTCCAAAAACAGATATCGGGGGTTGCTAGATGTCAAACGTTAATCGAATTAGATGTCAGTATATATTCTCTGCATTTTGGATAGATCCGGTGTAATATGTCAACAGAGTGTTTTCTTCACATTTAGGATAATATTACCCTGTCGGGGTACGGGTGTTTCCGACAAAGAACAAATGGTGCAAACATTTCCGACAGGTGATCGATAGAGGGCATGCATGTAAAACGTTGACAAGTTCAGTCCAGTCCAGTCCATAGTTTACAACTCCAGTCCAACCCATAGTCCAGTCCACGTTTTACAACATGCCTCTACAGAGGGCCGGGCAAGCCCCACAATCAGTATAATGAACACAATGAAATATGTCCATGGTCAACTTTCTGCATGGACAGCCATTTCAAATGGAGACTAGGAGAGTAAACAAAAAACCTTTTGTAGGAAAGAAATTAAACATTTTCCATGTCTTTCATGCATGGAATGGCCGAGATTTACAGTAACAGCTCGAAAAGAATACTCGGATCATCATTTTAGAGAAGGACCCACAATTTCAAAAATCAAATCAGTTACATTTTAGCACGTCAGCGGTCAGCTGGTATAACATAAATAAAACGGGTTTTAAACTTTTTAAAATACTTAAAATAAATATACTCAGCAGTTACAAAATTCAGTTAGCAAAACATCTGACCGTGTCATCATTATCCCATGTTGATGAGAATTCGACCTCAGTTTTAGATTTCAAACGTCACTCTTCATTCTACACAATTTTTAATGACTATATTGTTTATAAATCCTTATTTTAGAATAATGCTTTATAGTTTATAGCATATATAAAAACATCAAAAAATTCAGGCTATAATCTCAATCCAGGTTATATATTTTAAACGTGAATCTTCCTAATCCAGTTCCTTAGATCCTGGTTTTAGAAAGTGCTTTCAGAACAATATTTCCTGCAAAACTAATCTCCCACGATATTGTTTTGGGTTGAACGTTCTAGATTAATGCCAGATGTTGACAGTTCTCAAGTGACCAGTGGGGTATCCATTATGAAGACTGCTAAACTGTTATTATAAACGACACTTAGTGATGTCAGCACCCAAATGAGAGCTTCATCAAAATGTTGATGGATTACCAGTGTGTATTTGGGAACTTAGGACCGAATAACTCGTCGATAATAGATCCTATCAGTTCATTTCGAAGCCATAGTGTATAGTCAGAAGCCAACGATTGCTGCTTCAGAAATCTGTGTGCAAGATTCGTACAACATGCACGCAGAAAACAAAAAATTGACGATTGAATACGAAGAACAACACTTATCTTCGAGTGCTCAAAAAGTGACCGTTTCCGTTATTCAGAAGATTGTTTGTCATGCCTTAATTCACAAGGCCAATATTTCGCCGCAAACACACGCGGGTAGAGGGATAGGAATTGATATATAGACCTGGAACAAGTGTCAAGCACAGTAAAAACCAAGTTATCATTTTGCTCGGTCGCCTATAAAAGAGTTGCTATATATATATAATCTCTCTACCTATATATAGTCAATGGACATATATTTTTTACGCGCCAGCATGCATGGTCTAGTTCTGTCTTCATATCTAAGTGTACTCTTTCTCAACTTCTCATTGTGAGGGAAATTTCAATCACCACGTAACAGTTCTCCACTTGACTGAAAGACCTTGAATTTCAATCTTTTACAGTCGTAAGCGACTAAAATAGTAATAAAACCGCGTCGAGTGACAGCTCAAGTAGTACTCTACGTCTGCCAAAGCCAAAGACGAGCAACATGAAAGAGCCGGAATCCCAGGAAAATTGCCCCCCCCCGAGCCATATTTCCTAGGAAATGCCATTTGCATGGAACCCTCCGCCAGAAAATATTAGAAAAAGTAAATCACTCTCAAATTTTGAAAGAAAAATCACCACCCATCACTACCATTTTTCAAAATATATTTTTATGAGCGTGCATATATGCGCTAATAACAATGTATTAGCGACAATTCAAAGGTGGAATTAAGAATGCGGTTTTCGACTGGCAATTTAAGGTAAGATTATATTTAGTAGTTGGACAATTTACTTCTGAAGGATGTTTTATAGCCTATTGCCTTGCAATGTACATGAGCAGCGAATCAATATAAACCAATGCAAAAGCAGTATACAGCTTTATAAATAATAGACTGTATTCCATACGTCAAAAATGAATTGCATGCATGGATCCCATGAAATTGGATCATGTTAACAGAAAGCTAAATAACTCCTCTTTCGTGAACTATTAGAGTTAACAGACGTTAGACACAAAAAAGAATACATCACAGGTGTTAAAGTTTGATTTAGGTTTTTTAGACACCCTGTGAATAATATTCCCCATGTATATTTTTAACAGATCAAGTAAATAGTATACATGCGTTGGTAATATTTGTTTACATCAGAACGCGTTAACGGCGGCCAAAATGCTCAGCAAATGACATTTGTTTCGTGTATATGATCAAACCAAATGAAAAACTATTGATATTACAAATTTAAAAAAAAAACATTGACAACTGTGCCCCAAGCGACAAAGATTTGGCAACCGCCAGCCGTGCGGTTTGTATAGCTATAAGTTATCATCTCAATGCAGAATGATTTGAAACCAATAATTGCTGTTATTCGATAAATCTCATTACTTAATTCCGATTATCATTGTATCCTGTATAGAGAAATCAATTTAAAAATTGGCTACAGTATAAGCGAAGGCTAAAAAGGCCAAGTTCATTAAGAAGAAACGCAAATATATCTGTGTACCGTACGGATTGCATGGCAATTGAACATCACAGTCGAATACTTCAAAAACTCTTTAAGAGCCACAGCGCGTAAATAAATATGTTTAACAAAGAAATAAAGAGACAATGACCCACCCGCTTAATCGCAAGTCGTGGACGAAGCCTCTTGTCGCAAAAAAAGAAAAAAAATTTCAACAAACCTTTTGCACTCGTTCCAATGTCCACTTATATACAAATACGAATATCGAACAGCAGCACACAGATTTCGAAAAACCGTAATTCCTTTCCTGTGGGAAAGAACAATTTTATTAACGAGGAATTGAGCAAAAAATTCTGAGTGCGAGGGCAGGTTAGGCAATTGAGAAATGACTATTGCCACCCAACGAAATTGGCTCTCACGTCTCGTGGCTGTCAAGATATTTTAGCGCGACCGCGTCGCAGGGGCCAATCAACATCGCGTATTTTAAGTCGCAAATTAGTAGCTTTCTATATTAAATAATGATCTATGGTTGTATGCACGACGTTGCTCGATTGTCCAAAGCAATTTACCCGTAAACGTCGAGAAGGAATGGCCAGGATTGCATGGAAAGAGAAAAGAAGCGTGTGTATTCTACCTTATAAATTATTTCTCTCTTTAAAACTCGAGATGTGTAGAGGGAAATTTATACTTTGTCTAAAGACGTCCAACTCGATTGTCAGGGGTAATTGAGGTTTGACGTGAAATCGATCAAAAGAGACGCCGGTTAAGAAAACAACAAAAATCGATATATTCTATAAGTGTATACTGCACGCCATGTCGGGTCTGCGAGCAAATACAAATTAATATCTCAATATATATACAAATTATATATATTCCCAATATTATTGTCAAAGATATCGGCCATTCTGAAAATTATTAGAAACCCTCTTAAAATAAAAATATTCGACTGATTCTAACCCAAATTCTCGGTTTAAGACCAAAAGGCTCGATTCAGAAGATTGTTTATAGAATACTAGTATTGTCCCATTATATATAACAGTTTATAGATATATACAGACAAATAAAATATTATGGTATGGACTTCCTAATTCCTATATATATGGGATTTGATTTTGGTATGTGGACTTTCTTATCTTTCGACTAAATTACAAGTGCATGACATGCAGGTTACAAAGGGAGCCAGACCGAAACAGGTGTTAAAACTGCTCCAAAACCGTCGAGGCGTATATAAAGGTTTCACTCCCGCCGGACGACATAAAGGCTCGTTTAAATTTGTAATTCTGCTAAGACATAAACGATTTTCTTCTTCTGATAGATGTGAACGAGCGGATAAGTTACGGATGTTTAAATAAGATCACTTATGCCTCACAGTATTCGTAATTAACATCGCTCGCTTGCTCTATTAAACGAAGAAAATCGCACCGCGATCTGGATGTATTTATATCATACATGATTTGACCCGAAATAGCTTGGTTTCAGCAATTCTGAAATTTCAACAAACCGTATTTTACTCAGTACATGCCTCAGAGACTGTTGCCAGGTAGCCGAGCCGGCAGTCATTAAGTCAGCGTACTCCCCCACGAATGACAACGTTGTAGCAACGTTTTCATGACGACCAAAAACTAATATGCGCACGTCTGGAGTGCTTGCTCAAAAATTTATTCGATTTTATCAGAAAAAATTCCCAATCAAGTAAACTAAGCAGATTTTATCAAAACAAAAGTCCAAAGAAAAGTTTGTGTAGTTTTTGCAGGAAAATCTTGCCAATATCTTGCGCGGTAATACGAGCGTCTTTGACAACAGCCTCCCACAAGCGTGAAAAAGCGTTAGTATTTACTAGATAAATACAGGTTCGTGATAATTGTAGATGTGCTGCCTTGTGCAGTACATATAATAAAATTGGAACGATACAGAGAAGATTAGCATGGGCCCCTGGCGCAAGGATGACACGCAATTTCGTGAAGCGTTCCAAATTTTTAAACTCTTTTCAATTGCGAGTTTATTTAAATGTATATTCGCACGCCATAATATCATCGATAGGAAATACTTTGATCTTTTGTGGCAGAAGTTTATATAAGCCTAGGCGCGTTCTCTCCTAACGCGCTTTCTAAGAATTTCTAAGTTTATCCCAAAACCGCATGACTATAATCGAACATTGAATCTGCTCATGTCTTTTCATCAAATGTGGTACGACAACTGACTAAAAAAGACACACTTCGATGTTTAGACCTAAGAGACTTCGTCAGTAATAGTTAGTATGACTCAGGAACTTAATATAATTTAGTCACACTTAGTGTAATTTAGTGACACATAGTATAAGTTAGTCGTCATACTAACTTTCCTGACGAAGGTTCTTGAAGGTCGAAACCTCGAGAAGCGTTTTTGTTGTAGTTAGACAGTTCTTAAACCGCATTTACACCAGATATCACTCAAATGTCTCTCACCGTGCGGTTTTGGATGGTCACCAATCCCCTTTACTCAGGATTTTAACGAGATCATGGAAATAGCTGAAGCCGGCTTACTCACTCCAGGCGTGTAAAGAGATCTCAACCGCTCGGGCCGAGACACGAATTATCCATTTCCCAATCGAGCAGGGTACTGGGTCAGGTTGCGACCCGCAAAGCATCTATGGACTGTTTGGAGGTACAAATGATTACAATGATTACATTTCCTGTCCCTCCAAACAGACCATAAATGCTTTGCGGTTCACGACTAGACCCAGTACCCGATTGAGAAATGGGTAATTCTTTCGTTGAGATTAGGTTAGGATTAGGGGAACAGGTGTTCCCAAAAGGAAATTATTAATCACTTGTTGCGTTGTTCTGTTAAATTTATCATTATATACTGACAGAAATAGCATAATGTATATAATAATATATATCTATTAAATGAATAGCGCTGTATATAATAAGTATTCTAAGGCCATTGGAAATTTTTACAGTATCTCAAGTTGTATAAATTTTACTCGACAATAAAAACAACAAATAGTTCTTTTACCATTATTTATAAACTCAAACACAGCCATTCCACAAGCGAGAAACTAAAGTTCACTTCCCAAAGACGATATTGATGCAACTTAGGTACGATTTTCTTCTTTTGAAAGATGTGAAAGAACAGATATGTAATGAATGTTGAGAAAATTTAGGCATTTTAAAACAAGTTATTCATTACAGTTGTTCACTCGTTCACATCAGTCAAAAGAAGAGAATCGCCCATGGGAACTGGCTTTAAAAGAATTGTGCGAGAGCTCGTTTACACATGCAATTTTTGCTACGACTTCAGCTGCGAAATCATTAATTCTTGTGATCGATGTGAATAAGCGGATAAGTTATGAATGTTAAGTTTGGGCACGTATAAACCAGAGCATTCATAACAAACTCGCGCGTTCACATCCATCACAAGAAAATATCGAAGCAAAATTGCAAGTGTAAAGAAGTCTTTGATTTTTTTGTTTGGCTAATTTATTCAGTTACTAATCTGGCACCCCTGTTTCAGATTGGCGCTTTTAAGGCGCTGTTATATGCACTATGCAATCTTCCTTGCAAGTTGCAGTGCAATGACAATTTTGAGCGATGTTAATTTGTAAGGAGTGTTCGAAATGCTAAGAAAACGTTAGCAGAGCGCACGAAATGTTCGTATTTGTCAACTTTAGATGCCTCAGGAGTAGAATTGCATTGCAAGTTGCAAGGAAAGTTGCATAGTGTAACACACCGCCTTTAATTGACAACGGAAGACAAGAAACCTCTGCAGCCACCGTTAGCTCTAAGTTATATCTTTTCAAATCGAACAGTTCTTCATGCCAAATGAGCTAAAAGGTACTGGATCGAAAAGGCCGTTCCAATTTAAAAAGATTCACACATAGAAATAATAGACATCTATGTCTATCATTTCTATGGATTTACCCGTCAGTTTCAAGCTGTCGATTTTTAAGAAATGCTATATACCAACCTCAGTGAACACCAAAATATTAGAGCGATTTAGCACGAGGACGTGAACGTCAAAGACGACGTGAAAATGGCGAATAAATGGCTTGATGCGCCCAAATATGGACACTCCACGCCATTTACTTGCCATTTTCACGTCATCTTTGACGTTCACGTCCTCATGCTAAATCCCCCTATTAGCATAACGAGACAAATCGACAGGCTGGCTACGCTACTGTAAACGAAACGGCGTATTAATGCGAGTTTGTAGTAACAGATGTTTTATAAAAAAGTCTTTTAGATTTCGCAGTTGTAACGAATCTGAAGTTCCGAAATGTTCTCGAGACGCTACGCCTTAATCGAGGTTCGCGGTTTTCCGTTATCAAATGTTACCGCAATCTGAAACTCTGTATTCACAAAGGCACAAACAATCGACTGTCAGCGAATTACGATATTTAACGGTTACGTTGAACAGAAATATTCGTATATAACGTTAACGAAACAATTAATGCAAACATTTAATGCAGCACGTCATTTTAGACCTAGGTCACTTTAGACCTAGCTGTTCGCAGACTTTCTTCGCTGCATTCTGTTCAGCGGTTTTCTTCAAAATATGAGGCGTGCCCACGTATTCAACGCCATTTACAGTAACGGTCGCAATGACCATACCAGCGTCCTTAACTGTATTATATATGGGAATCTGCCATCCATTCTTTTGGCAATATTCTTGCACGATGTTTTTCGTGGGTTTCGTTTTGGGGCCCGTGCTGGCTGCTTTTGAAGTTGATGCAGAAATCACTATGTTTGAGTCGGGCGTATTTATAACGGCATCTATACAGAACACAGTCGTTATATTGGCATAGGTAATCATGAGATGCCGTGTACAATTCGGGATTAATAGGTATCAGGGATGTTTGAAAATTTTACCAAAATTGGACGAGCCACTGGGGCAAGTCTAATTCGGCAACATTTTCAAACATCACGAGTGCTATTAATCCCTAATAAAAAGTCTGCCTTTTATACGTATTTTGGGGGCAAAGCAAGCTCCTGATTGCCCAATGCGCCCGGTTGACCAATCAGGAACAAGCTTATCCACAAACTACGTCACAGCACACACGTTTAAAGACGGATTTCCATTCAGTGCGAAATGTTGCGTGATCGATCGATTTCTTTATTGTGGTTTAGCCCATTTTCCACAAGGCGAATTTATTCGCGCGAACAGAAAGCGATTTCGCGGCGAATTTTTTCGCAAACCAATTACATCACTGGATTTCAGATATCGCTTCGCATCGCACGAATAAATTCGCCAAGTGGAAAACAGGTTTTAGTCAAGTTCGTCTAATGGGATAAGTTCCGCACGACTGTCTGTATTTTAAAGGAAAGTGATTGAAAAAAATGGATCCCGCTACATTTTGTACGGAATGGTAATCCGCCTTTATAAAGGTCTATAAATTATAGATTTGGGTGAAGGCCTGGGGTCGGTTGTATCAAGCCCGTTTAGCTTAAACGGTGGTTAAGTTCAAAATAGTAATCAAGTCTATCGTTTTATTCAACAAGCAAACAAAATGTCTTTATAACCTTAAGACAAAGATAATGTTTACAACTACATATTCAGTGCATAATATTCAAGTTGACTCGTTCAAGAGAGTTGTAAGAGTGTTATTTAATTTTGACTCATCCGCCGTTTAAGTTAAACGGGCTTGATACAACCAGCCCCTGGGCCGGTTGTACGAAGGCTGGATAGCGCTATCCACCGGATAATATTTTTTTCAACCTTTCTGGAAATGCTTGAAAAGCGGTAAAATTTTAGCGTTGGAAGCAACAATTATTAAAGATGATTCTTAATTTAGGTACACTAAGGTTTAATCAAAGTTTCAGCCATGCAAGAACGGGTGATTTTAGAGCGAATGAAAAATCTACTATCCGGTGGATAGCGCTATTCGACTTTCATACAATTGGCCCCAGGCCCAGGTTTACATTAACAGATTTGCCACGATTTTCAATCTCCCTGCCTCGAAATTACAGTTGAAGAAAAGTTTACAGGTCTGTTCACACCATCCAAATCATTCGGATGCAATTCACGTCTGATGGATGGTTTTTAAAGCTGTTGACTTCAACCGAAGCAAACGCAGTACCGCTTTATGAATCAACAGACAACATTCCATCCATCAGGAGTGAATTGAATTCGACAAAATTGGATCGTGTGAACAGACTTTAACCTGCCGAAATGTATTGCAAGGGCGGAAAGCACGCCTGTGATAAATACCGCGACTTTTTCGCGCGCCAAAAAGAATCCATACCGCCGAGTAAATTAACGCGTTTTATTTGGCGCGTGCATGTAGAAGTCGGGTCAAAATACCTAACAAAATACCGTCTTATCCGCTGCAGGATATCTCAGATAAGTACGGACGGACCTTGGAAGAAGCCTGGGAAACAAATTCCGAATAAACAGGACATTTTGAGAATCAAAATGTGAATCAAACAGACACAGATTAAGACTGTAAATTTTCGATTTTATTTCAAAGTCTGCATGTCTGAAGATGACTTTGAAATGAAGTTGAAATTTACAGTCTCAACCTGTGTCTTGTTTGATTCATATTTTGACTCTCGAGATGTCTTGTTTCATTCGGAATTTGTTTTTTACTTTGCTTTTTTAAATTGTCGACTGGTCATGGTTTTTAGAAGGAGGCTGGTCAGCGGGAAATATAAATATCAACATGTTGAAGACATAACTTAGGACTTACTTTCAGTCGTATTGTCCAAGATAAAACCTTCTTGCTTTATCGGCATTTTATGATTTGTATCCAGTTGCTTAAAAGCGATCTCGGCAACGTGTTGCTCCGCCAGTTTCTTCGTTCCGTGCCGTTCCACCCCTTGATATACTGAAAAGAAAATAATGCAAAAAGCAAGGTAAGTTTTTCACTTTTTTGGAGGTATATTTGTAGTCTTCTGTCGGCCTGTTGTCATAAAACTCTTTAACTACATTTTGCATGGTTAAATCCTAGTTAACTCAGGAATACACATCTCTAATTGGCCAATTCCGTTCTTAACTACATGCGGTTAAAAGTTAACAAGTCTATTCACTATTTTCACTAAATCCCATGATGCTGTGCGCGCGCATTCCTTGGGGTACTAAAATAATCAAAATGGCGACATTCTTGTTTTGATTTTGGCGGGATTTAGTACCGCAAGGAATGCGTGCGCACAGCATCATGGGATTTAGTAAAAATAGTGATTAGTGAATACAACTGGTTCCCTGGAGTGTTTGGTCGACCGTTCTTACTTACATTGTCCATTCAAAACAAGTGTGCTTAGAAATCCGCCAGCCGTTCTTATGGTATCATAGGTTGGCGGGCCTAGTTTCATTTTCATCACGGCTTCGTTGATTTTGCTTTTATACGACTGCGAACCCAGAACGGGCGACGGTTGTTCTTGTTTGGCAAATTTTGGGGTTGACACGGAATCTTCTCGTTCGTCCGACGGTCTCTTTTTAGCTAAAACACAGAAAATACAAGATACAGAAACGCAAAAGTCACCTTCAGTGTAGATTATGACGTTCTCGCTCCTGTCTGACGATCAACTGTGCACGGGCCCTTAGAGTTCATCGAGCTAAATTGGCTTCGAACAACAGGCCCCAGACCCTTTCTTTATATAAACCCTGCATATGAACACAGTGGCTACCTTACCTTTACCAGAGCCTAATTTAGCCGTGAACGATTCATTTGCATCGATAAATCCCAGGCATTTTAAAGCCTCGAAAGCAGCGCTCTGTTCAGCGTCCTTTTTCTCTCGTTCCGTCTGCAGACACGAGAACATCTGATTGTCCACACACACGTCGGCCGTGTAGCCCATGTCAGTTTTTCGAGACGAATACTGAGGGACGGGTTTGTGATTCTTCTGAGCAAACTCTTGGAGCTTATTTTTGTATGAAATAAAACCCTCGCCAGTTAACACTAGAAAAAATGCATTATGATAAGTGTTTAGTTTGTTTTTGTATGAAATGAAACCCCGCCAGGTGATCTTAAGTTAAGCAGACTAGATTTATGATGTAAAAATAAAGTAAAGGATAGATGGGTTAAAAGTAAAATGAAGAATAGATATATTTTAGCCGGCGGTAAGGTTTAAATATCGACAATTAACTTCTTAAGAAAGATAAACAAACTCACTTATAAATGGTTTAGTGGCTTTAGCACCAGTTGGAACACCATCAGCTCTTCCACGGCCTCTGCTTGTTGCTCCCACCCCCCTTGTTCCCTCAGGTTGCCCCCTTCCATGCTGTCCTCTGCCAATTGTCGAAGTTTGCCCATTTCCATCGCCAACAATTTGCCCATGACCTCGTCCACTTGATGCATCCTGGCCTCGACCTCTTGTGACAGCCCGGCATCTACCAATGGCTGCCTCTTGCCCTAAATCCTGTGTTCCTCCTGAAACCCATCCTCTTCCAACAGTTCCACCCATCTGGTCCCTGCCACGAATACCCCCATCAGATTGCCCTCTTCCTCTGTTCATACCAATAAAGTGCCCCCTGCCCCTATTATTATGAAACTGCCCTTGACCTCTACTTGCAACATCAGACAGGCCTCTGCCTTTCTCTCCCCCATCAGGCTGTCCCCTGCCCCTTACACCATTAATTTGCCCTCTTCCTCGATTAGCACCACGGGTTTGTCCCCTACCCCTATTTACAAAATCAGCCTGTCCTCTACCCCTATAGCCCCCTTCATATTGTCCTCTTCCCCTATTTCCATTGCCACCACCATGTGGACCCCTGCCTCTAGCCCCTGTATTAAATTGTCCCCTACCAGTACCCCGACCTGCACCATACTGCCCCCTATTACCACCCCTTACACCTCTGGTAAACCCATCAAACCCATCAAATCCACCTCTACTGTGTTGCATACCACAATGTCCCTGGTTGCCTCTTGTTGCAAGTCCACCCCTGCTGTTTGAAAAGCCTGGATCAAACCCTTCAGGCTGGTTGCTAGGAGGAGCATTATCTTGTGAGTAAAAGTTGTGGGTTGAATTATCATATCCTCCATGATTGGTGAACTTCTCATCACCACAACCATCATAACCTTGCCAGTTGGGTTCTTGTGGTGTTGAAATAAACTGTCCTGTATCATACCCGCTCTGCGGATAACCCACGCCTGTGGGTATGACAGGGTCCCCAATGGCTCCGTATGACCCTGTAGGTGGGTATGCCGGGGTAGGTTTTTCAAAAGGTTGGTCAAAAGGTTGATATAAGGGCATTGGTAGCCTAGGTGGTGGATAGCTAATTCCACCAGATAAATCTGGACCAGAACCATAATTTGGATTTCCAGGGCGATACCCTATGAAGATTTTGACATAAAAATATCACATTAACACAAGTTGAAAACTTGTAATTCCCACCCACTGCCCCTGCTTTCTTGTATATATACTAAGTGGACCAGTTTGCAATGAAGACAATTCACAAAGGATAAAACTGGGAATAGATCAAAATTGTTGGCATATGTAGTGGTGCAAGAAATTATAATATAAGTAAAAGGGTAAGAATATTTGCCAGGCAATGCACAATAACCTGTTAGCTCAATACTATTGAGAAGCACTTGTTTTAACTCACAAATATCACTTTTAGACCATAACAAATGCATGAAAGTTTTCCACATTAAAATAATCTGATGTATAGAAAATTATGATAAGCGTTGGTGTACCTGCAGTACAATTATAGAATACCAGGCAAACAATGCATTATGTTTAAGATCTGTTATAGGGATTGATTTTAGTGAATAGAACTGCCCTTTTCTTCAAAAATAGTGTTTATTCTTGCTCTGTGAAAGTCCAATTCATGCATCAGGTAAAATAAAACAAGGTAGTTCTAAATGCCATTCACTGCTAAGGCCTAAGAGTTAGGTTGGCGAGGTATTCTATAATTGCTTTGTGTCTGCAGGTTAAAGTCTATTTTGAATTTTCAATGCAAACGAACAAATGGAGGTGTAGGCATAGCTCTGAATGAATGTCTTATCTTACGTAGAGACATAGTTTAACCATGTCTATGAAATAAACAAATATGGTTTAACGCATATAAACACACATATCTCAGCTACTAAAATCATGCAGACAGGTGACTGAGGTGAGAAACATTATATCAAGCACTTTTAAAACAATTTTCAATTCTATTTGTAATTATTTATCTAAAAGATCGTATCATATATCGTTTAAAAAATGGCATATGCCAATCCATCTTCGTTTCGTTTCAGATGTCAGATATATTCGTACATCACTTTAAAAGTGAATCGGTTCAAAACTTTATCCGATCTTTAACATATATAGATCAGATTTACCTGTATTTTGGTATGCCATATTATTTGTCAGTTAAATTGTAATTTGCAGCTTTTAATGGTCTCTGAAGTGACTAGAATTTGGACAAATTTCCTTCCATGCTGCCAAGCATTGGAAGAATTCAAAAATGGCGACAGCAATATGAGAAAGCGCTCATATTGCACAGCGGAGTAGTTCCACCTTAATTCATGAAAACATTTCCAAAATCTTCCCAAAGTACTGATTTCGTCAAAGAGAATTTAAAGTAATTCAAAGAAAATGATCGTAAAAACCATGTGAAAATATTTGACATCACATGGATAACCACGCTGTTTTAATTAATGGTCAAATGCTTGTCCTATGTAAAGTTGCATGCATGTTTCGTGCTCATATACAAACAATAAACAATATAACCACGCTTTGGTTAAGATGTCAAATATTTTGACATGGATAACCACACTGTTTTAATGGTCAAATGCTTGTCCTATGTAAAATTTCCAGCATGTTTCGTGCTCATATACAAACATTAAACAATATAACCCACGCTAATACCTTGTGCCATTATGAGCTTGAACGGCTGAGGGTGTATGCAGTCGTTCAAGGATTAAATTTTATACGGCAAACGTGAAACATATACGGCAAAGCTGAATTAGCTGCTTTTCTAAATACATTAGAAATAGCCTATTGCTTTCTGACATTACTGCTGAGCATCACAAGCTTTTTGTAGAACGTTTGTAATTAAGCAATATTTCTGCACTGACTTTAACATAGTGGAGTTAAAACACAAAGTTTGTTAGCGGTTTGGCGTTCGCCGTAAACGTAAATCTGATAAGGTCTCTATTATCTATGACTATGGTATAAATAAATGTATAAAATACTTACCTACCAAACATGCATAACAGGCAACTTACTATAATACTATAAATAGTTGAAATTGTTTAGCAAATGAAGATGTCGAAATTTCAAATTTGTTCTTGGAACGGCGTTGAATATAATATAAACACATGACGAATTAATCCCGGCCCCGCACTGGGCTGTCTCGCTAAGCGAACGAGTCGCTGCCTCTTAAAACAGCAAGTAATCTCTCGTTTTGAAATCAACTTCTGCGTAACGAGAGGGCCCTGGTGATGCGCAACTTCGTTACCCCGGGAACATGCAAGGTTGTGTGACGCGTACATCACTTCCGTCTTTTTATATATCTCTGAAACATAAACGAAAGTTGCTGATAAACGTTGAGTTTTACGCCATTTTACAGACTACAATTACAAAAGACCATGGCCTCGAAATATCACGACGATTGGCAATCTAGTAAGACAACGGTTTTGCAAAGAAACGCGTTTATGTTCGATAACGAATTGATGAGCGACGTATCATTTGTCTGTGGTGAGACAAGTCATCGTGTATTCCATGCACACAAATATGTGTTAGCAACGAGCAGTGCTGCGTTCTTTGCCATGTTTTACGGAGATTTGGCTCAGAAAGAGTCTCCTATTCGCATTAAGGACGCGGACGAACAAAGCTTCAAGGAATTTCTTCGTTTTCTCTACGTGGACGACTGCGAAATTACCGCAGAAAACGCGATTGGAATTATGAACTTGGCTAAGAAATATCTCATTCCATCTCTGGCGGATAAATGTTGCAAGGTTCTAGAGACAAGCATTAAGCCTGACAATGTTTTTACCGTTTTGGAGGGAGCTAAACACTTTGATGAGAGCGATTTGGAAGCGAAATGCTGGGCTATTGTCTCCCGGAAAACTCTGGACTGCGTGAACTCTGAAGCATTTTGTACAATCGGGTCACACACTCTCGATACTCTGTTAAAGACAGGAACACTAGGTATAGAAGAGGTGGATTTGTTCATAGCCGTATTAAAATGGGTGGATAGTGAATGTAAGAGACAGGGTATACAGGGTGACGCAATGGCGAGAAGACGCGTTCTTGGAGATAGTGTGAATGAAATTCGTTTTCTCGAAATGTCACAAGAGGACTTTGCTAATTACGTTCCTGCAACAGGAATACTCACAGACACAGAGATAGTATCAATTTTCTGTGAATTCAACGGAGTTGTTATGGCTGACTCAAAATGGAAGAGTCTACGAAGGAGACGATCTGCATTCACGGTAGTTGGTTTTAGCAGATTTAATCTTGAAGATTTGGCCATGCCCACTACCGACAGCTGGAGTTACAAAGGAAATCCCGATGCTCTCATTTTTTCTGTTAAGAAAAAAGCAGTTTCTTTTCACGGTGTTCGTTTGTTTGGCAATGCTGATTCTGGCAAGTATGAAGTAACATTCACGATCAAAGATAAAACGGTAACAGGAACTTATAATTCGGAACAAGACGATGACGGTGTCTGGGGATATGACGTCATGTTGTCAAAGGCAATGTCTCTACTACCTGATGAAGATGTCACAATAATTGCGACCATAAAAGGACCACGTTCTTATTTTGGTACAAGTGGAAAATCATACGTGAAATCTGACGAAATTAACGTCACTTACAAAAAGGCACTCTCTGGTGGTGGCACATATGGTACAAGCGTAAATAGAGGTCAGTTTTACAAAATATTTTTGTCGCTGTTATAGAGGCGAAATATCCTCCTCCGGTATGACGAAGAGACAAAACAAGTCACTCAGACAAAAGATCTATAAGTTATAGTTTAAAAGGACAGAGTACTTTACTAGTATTTCATAGGAAGTCCGAGTGCTTCTGAATAGGCGAGCTTCTTTCAAAACACACAACAAACTCGCAGGCTTCGAAATTATTTGTTATTTCAAGATACTGGCACTATGGCCTAGGTTAAAAATGCATGCTCATCAGCTCATAACAAGTGTGGGCCCTCTGATGTGAAAATTGCCCGAATTTCGCATGTTTATTATAAACTCTAGTTCATATTAATTTAGAAACGTAAGGAACCTAAATAGTGTTAGGCCCCCGTCCACACGATGCCGGGAGAATTTGAAAACGCAAGAATATTCTTACGGTTACGCGTATCGTCCACACGTATCCGGCGTTTTCGCCCACTGAAAACGGAATAATCTGAAAACGCTCTCCAGAGTGGAAGAATTTGAAAACGACGGCTGAGCGGATACGTGTGGACAGCTTTGCCGGATAAATTTCAAAACGATGACGTCACGCATCAAGTCGTTTCCATATTAATGAGGCTTGTTTCAAGTCTGGTGGCTTATGCTCGACTTTGTATTGCTATATTAACTTCAAATAAGTGTTATTTAGGTTATTTTCATGGTGAGTAAAATCCTCGCCAACTTTTTTAGCATTTGCGGAAGTATTTTACGAGAGAAACATGTCCAAAATGTCGGAGTATGGTTATACACAATTTCTTATACACGACATGCATTTAATAGATACTCAACAACAATTTTTATGAGTTCGGGCTTGTCGTCTGTCCAAACAAAGTCCTCATTCTTGTTTTTTACTTTGGATTTGGTAGATTTTTGCTTTGAATTCGACATCCAACCTGTGACACGCGGGTGGAAAACATGAAGGATGTATTGCGGGATCAAATAACTTTACCGTTTTCGAATCGTTTTTGTGTTTACGTGTGGACGCGGATAAATGTTTTAACGGATAAATATTTTTGCGTTTTCAAATTCTTTCGGCTTATTCAAAATGTAAACAAACCGTTTGTTTACATACGGACTTGATCACTTGAATTTTACTGTATCTGACCACGGAAGCCTATATTTTAGCTCGAGCGGCTTATTTGTTTTGTTTTTCTAAGATTTATTCGCAAACTTTTGACTTTTTTTTTAAATATATGGGCCAAATGATTATCACGATAGTTAGAGTTAGTTTTAGAAAATTGAACAAATTAGGTTTTGATTGTTTGTTTTTGTCGCCATTGCCGAGGCTGACTGCGATAAGACCGAACGCCGCTTTTTGTAAAAAAATAAATACGTTATTTACCGTTTTGGTGGGTCCGGATAGAAAAATATTTCCCCGAGGTATCAAAAACGACCCGAGGCAGCAGGGCGCTTTTGACATATGATATCCTAACATACCTAATTTGCGCGAGTTTGGGGCATTTATGACTATTTCTCAATCCCTGTCTGGGGAAATACTTTTTCCGAATGGAAAGGAATTGAAGTACAAAATATTTCAGATATACTGAATATAATTATCAGGGGTACTGTTACCACTGTTACAAGTTAACCGCTGAACTGTAATTATATTTGAAAGACTGAACGATCAAAATTGAAAGGCGTATATATTTTTGTTAATCAAACGGTATTGAAGTCAAAAGACGAGACAAATTGAAGACATTGAAAACGATATGTATAATTTCAACATGTTTGTATTTTTCCAATTTACGAATGGTAAGGAAATAAACGCGTAAAAACAAAACCTTATTTCCCTTATATTTATGGGAAATCTCTAGGAGAAGTGGGGATCATTCGAAGCGGAAGTGCGCGCAAAACTACACATAGTTGTTTACTCAGGAGTTCAGACTGAACATAAATAAAAGTAGTGAAATTGGCTGACCAATTAAAGGAAGTTTGTAAGAATCTTACTTGAGGCAAGATTTCCTGAGTAACCAGGGACGGCGGAGCCGGGGGGGCTAAAGCCCCCCCCCACTTTGTAATGTATTTATTATTAAATAATAAAGGAAGTTAATGTTATACGGGTCTTCGTATCGTAGTGTCTTGGGTCTTAGGACGCTTGTCCGGTCGGCTACTTGCCCCCTCCGGTGAGTATAAATATGAGCCCAGTTTGCCTGATCGAGTTGTTAGTTGCTTGCGTGACCCATCCCTCCCTTTTCCCTAACGACTTCACGCGATGTTGTGAACTCTACGGGAGAAGCGTCTTATTAATCTCGCAGGGTTTTTTTGTTAGTTTTTGTTTTGCAGGATTAAGCACAGTTCTGTTCACACCCGTTTTGGTCGTGGAATTGGTGTTTGGGGTAAAGGTAAATTCATTAATGATCGCCACATTTACAGGTATTTTTTTTTGTGTGTACTTTGATGTTCGTATCGTTTATTCCACGGTTTCACTTCAGTGACTCACGTGTGACAGTTGATCACGGGATGGAGGAGGTACCGTTAAAAAAGCATGGTTCGTTGAGTTATTATCTGCGCCGAAAACAGCAAACTCAAAAGAAACACCGTTTCACCCCTAGCCCGATCGTTTCGCTCGGATACCGTCTCCATCCCTACCGATCGGCAGCGGGCAAAAATATAGTGTAAGTGCTGGTGTGCTATCGTACTGATGTGAGCCTTAGGATCCGTTAGAACGTTAATTTACAGAAAACCAAAAGATGTTTACACTTTTTATTTACTGAGCAGTGCTTAGTATTTGGAATCGTTTTGATAACATCATAAGTTGGAGTAAAGATGTAGCCCCCGCACTTGATATAACGCATCGCCGTCCCTGGAATCCCCCTTCTGGAAATTACGTTACACCCCCCCCAAAAAAATAGCATTAAAAAATTCTACCGAGTTTTCTTATTGCACACGTTCTTTCTTTCGTCGGTTAATGTCAAAAGCTTATAATTTTCAACAATCAGGATAACAGAGGAATGAATTTCATGGCGGAAAAATAAGAAAATTGCATTGCACATTTCCGGAAAATTGGAAGGATTCACATGCTAATAATAAATAGCAAATATTACGGAATTAAAAAGCAAAATTATGGAACGCTTCTTATCAAAGGCAAACTGGTTTCACTTGTGCCATCACCAAATAAGAGGGAGGCTGTTAGAAGTGGTGGGGCACAGACAAAGGGCAATATATTAATCACATTTCCCCCACAACATATATGTTAAGACAGTGAAGTAGTTTTAACTTTACAGCCTGCAAAAATAGACACATTTTGGAGCAAAGGGGAGGCATGTTTCCTTTTTGCTATTTTAGTCCCATATCGTAACGGAAAGGCCAGTAATTCCCGCCTTGAGACAATTTAATCACTGCTAAGTAGAATTGTAAAACTTTATGTATTTTAATGAATATATAAAATTGCTTACGATTGCTTATCCGAGTTCGGGAGAAAAATCAGTAATCTTTACCGCTATTCTATATTGTCAGTTTACTAAAACGTTTTAATAATAGCACCAACGGCATTATATACTTTTTTTAACACTGCATGTACACCATTTGTGCGCACTGCGGGGTGACGTACCAGATCATCCAATATCGTAATGAAATGAATCGAAGCGAAAAACAACTTTGCGAAAGCAACGCGATGGTATAATACCAGACATAATTGCACATGGTCGTGGGCTGTATGGATTACCATAGGATGGTATTCACAAATGATACACTTTGATAAAAACCTAACCTTCAAACAACTTTGGAAGATAACCGTACTTTCCTACTCCTTTACCGTTTTTTCCTCATTCTGGTTATGACAAACATAAATATTAAACAATTTTAAGTATTTGCTTGCCAGTCTCTTCCAACAACAGAGAGCATGGACATAATGGCAAAAGCCCAATTCTTCCATTCCAAAAATGTAGGGAAAACAATTGTCGGTTAAAAATCGACCTTTTTGTAGGTTTAAGACCCTTTCCCCTTCAGCTGATCGGTTAAATTGTAGAACTGTAGAATGACGGTTTAAAACGTCGCCTATATAGCTATGCAATTCAAAATATGCGATGACTGTCAATGTAATTTTCACATGACAATTACTGAATAAGCCTTCCACAACTGTATTCGCTCGGCAAAGATAAACACAGCTCTATGACAGCAAGCACCTGGATGGTTAACAAGTAAATCAATTCTTTCATTCTTCGTGCTTGCCTAATTTGAATAATTAATTGATGGTATTAGTTGTCTAAGCTATTAGACTGCAATTTTGCTTTGGACATTCCATTTCTGTGACCAATTCACAGTATGGGTTTAAATTTATGCATTTCAATGAGAATCACATTTCAATTAGATCTTTAAAGGATTCCTATACAAATTTTCCTTCGTTGATTATACCCACTCATGTGACAAGAAGGGCATAAGTAATACAGACACTCATATTTTTCCTTTCAGTTTCAATCAACATTTCTCGAAATTCGCGGATGCTTCATCCACTTTTCCCAAAGACGTTTCCTTTGAGTAAATTTAAATTTCATCCTATTAATACTTACCTCCCATCTTAATTTATCACATCTTTCATTTAATTAATTTTTAATACTGGCTTTGTGACCACTTCCTTTTTGCTGGCTACACTTGATTGTGCATTTATAGTATACCAACCCCTATTCCATTGGTTATGTCAGTGTTTCCACTTCTTTACTTCAAATTTTTCCATTCTGAATAACCTTTTAAATCAACCTATTTTCCACTGCACATGTTAACCCTTTTTAAGCGCCTAATAACCCCCTTGCCATTGGTTATATAAACCACTTGTTTGACCATGTCCTAACTTGACATATTTTTCATTCCAAATAACCCCTTGAATTGGCTGATTTTACACTGGCCATATTATAGTATGCTGTACGCATTTATAGCAAACCCTTTCCACTGGTTATGTATAAACTATTTCATAAACTTAAACCAAACCTTTATTTTCACCAAAGCTGAACAGCTTTATAACAAATGGTTGCAAGTCTGGTTGTAAAAAGAGTGATTTGAATTTGAAGTCAATCTCAATGCAATGCTTTTCTTGACCATTTCTGTGAATACTGCACTATTTAGTATGTTTTCCTGGCTTAAATAACTCATTTGTTGAATACTTTTGGCAAAAGAATATACTTATAAGGATTATACTTGGCAAAGGAATAACTTAAACCCTAACATTAACCCCCTTCATCATGAGATGACATGAAATTATTTGTACTTCCATGTTAATTTGACTAACAAAAAACTTGACGGAATGCTAGCCATACAAATTTCAAGAATTTTCCCTTGAAGCCAATCTTTCATAGACCTTAAATCCTGTAATAGGATTATACTTGGAAGCAATACACCCCTTTTTCAAGAAATAATGTTTACCTTTTTATGATTCCTTTCCACCAAATTGATAGAACACTGCATGCCAGGACGAAGTGAACAAACTTTTTATTCTTACGTTGAATACATTTTCAGGTTAGCAAACAATATCATGAAGAGCTAAACATTTAACACTGAATTGTCTTGAGTCTATTTTCTTTATGTGAATTTCTTTGTATAGTCCAAAACAATTGGCTTAGCATAACTGTAAGTTTCATATCCAAAACAGGTAGAAATAGTGTCATTAAAAGGTTGGCAAATTAAACTCAACCAAAGGCTTGCTGTAAAGGAAGAAAATGTTACTTTGAATAGTCCCCAACTGCACGATGTTTTCATAACAAAAACATTTCAATTTTGCGGCCTCCCATTTGCTTACCGCTCAACTCTCTAATTGCAATCTTTGCACGCTCATTGCTCACCAAGGTTATCATTGCATCACCAGAACACCTGTTGGCATCAATGTAATGGATTCGCACAGAATCTGGAATTGCTGGGAAGCCTCTGAACAAACGTAGAATATCATCAGATGTTGTAGAAACAGGCAAATTACGAATGCCAACAACACATCCATCCTTGATGTCAGCTAAGTTGATATTCGCACTGGCTGCAACCATACTTGCAGAATTATCAACACTGACTGGAGCACGGGTGGAGATGTTGGAAGAGAAACTACTGGGGTTGAAGGTAGACTGTCCACTCCTATCTCTTGCACTTGTATCCCCAGGAAATGCACTTGAAAGCAAACTCATATCAATATTGAGAGTAGATACAATTTCCTCCAAGGTGCACCTGGTGACATTGATATAACGGTTTCCCAAAAACTGGCCATGTCTCTTGAGGGCTTTGATACAATCGTCTTGAGTTGCACACTCAACAAACGCACTGCCACTGGACTTTCCTACATGCTTTCCTTGCTTATTGGGTATAATATAAACAGCAGCAACGTTTACACCCTTCAAGAACTGCAAGATATCTTCATCCTTTGCAGTGTATGGCATTCCAGTCAACTTAAGAAATAACCCTTTTTCACCACTAGAAACAGTGGAACTTTCTGCTCGAGTATTGGTGCGAAAACTTCCCCGGTCATTAGGCGAGTCATGCTTTGATCTCAAACTTTTACTATCCCTTGAGGAATTATCTTGTGATCGAGTAGTGGAGAATGAATACGAACCTCTCCCCCTTCCTCTTCCGCGACCTCTGAACCCCCTTGAGCCTCTATCAGTGTGACCTTGTCCCCCACCTCTCCTAAAACCACCCTCCCTATCATTTGAATCTCGACCATTAGCACTTGTCCTTGATGTACTGAATGAACTTCCACGACTGCTGCGAACAGGACTGTGGCTCTCTGAAAAGATGACCTGGAGTGCTACTCCCTTGCCATACTTTGAATCAGACCGATCCCGGGGGCTTCTGCTCCTCTCTCGTGAAGATCTGCTGCTGCTCTTGTCTGCCACCCCTCCCCCACGACTGAAACGACCACCAGGAGATTTCGGTATCATTGCAACCCCATCTCGCAAAGCTTTCTCCATTTCTGTCTGACTGCTCAAAAACAACTCCACATACCGCTTTCCAATGTAAGCACCATTCCTTTGCATAGCTCTTCGTGCATCCTCGTCGTCGTAAAAGCAAGCAAATCCAACGCCACATGCTTTCCCATCCTCATTTGGCGCGAGATGTATGTCGTGTTCCGCTATTTTGGAGTCGCGAAAAAACGATTTAATATCGCGACTCGTGGTCTGCCATGGCATTCCTTTGAGCTTTATTATGACAGGCATCCTTTGAAGAGTCCAAAATCGACGAATATATTGTTTTAAATGCGTAAAATACTACAAATATTTGAAGTCCAACAAACTGTATCACAAAATAGGCACAAACACGTTTCACGCGAAGGTGCCCCTGATTTGCTTTCCGGTAGCCCCGATCACCACACTTGAATCCACTCTTATCCATTTAATACTCAAGATGTATATATCCATCCCCATGTACCCCTCTAACAAATTGCTTCACTTCGGCATTTTTTTTCAATTTACTCATCTCCAGAAACATGGAAAGTTATAAAATAAGGTTGTTATAGTTTTATTCTTACCTTGTACACGTTTAGTGTGTTGCTAATATTTATATGGCGAAGATAACCGACAGTTTGCTGCACAATCAATCATCGATGTATATTCCACTTCTCTGCCTAGGCCTTTTCCGCGTCAAGCTTCTTTGCATATTTTTTTTTCCAAAAAGTCAAGAAAATCTAAAGAAATAATAGTATATAGTGTTACGAAACTTATTGATAATAAAATAGCGTGTGTAATTTTGTATATGAAATTAAAAATGAACCATAAATCAGTAAAATCACTATTCACAAATTCCAAAGAAAATAATTTCCCAAATTAAGTGGTAACACCGAGAAAAAAAATTGCATGTTTTTTTTTTTGCGGAATTTATTATTTTTCATTTGTTACATAACTACCTATGTTGTAAATCGCATTTCCAATATGGTAGATGTCCAAGTATTTGGCTCAAAAGCTGAACTGCAAACACGAATTGGCGCTTTTATTGCCCAAAAAGCAAGGGAAGCTATTTCAGACCACGATTACTTCTCCATTGCATTTTCGGGCGGAAGTGTTGCCAGCATTGCTCCGGCTGGTTTGCTGGAACAAGGAGATTTAAAGAGCCTCGATCTTTCCAAATGGAAAATCTATTTCTGCGATGAAAGATATGTAGATCTTTCAAACGCGGATAGCAACTATAACGTCGTGAATAAAAACTTTATATCAAAAGTCAATGATATCAAATCTGAGAATGTCTTCACCATTGACCCTGCCTTGCCACTCGAAGATGCAGCCAAAAATTATGAGGAAAAATTGAAATCATCCCTGGGTGATGGTCAAAGAATTGATCTGCTTTTGATTGGCATGGGGCCGGATGGTCATATATGTTCGTTGTTTCCTGGTCACCCGCTCCTTGACGTCACAGACAGATTGGTTGCGGCCATATCTGATTCACCCAAACCCCCTCCGAGCCGAATAACTTTAACCTATACGGCATTGAATGCTGCAAGGTGTGCAATGTTTATCGTCTCTGGAAGTGGGAAAGCTAAGGTGGCCAAGGAAGTGTTAGAAGGCAAAAATCCTGACCAACTGCCAGCAGGGAGAGTTAAATTGACCAATGGGACAATGCACTGGTTTATGGACAATGATGCTGCAAGCCAATTGGAAAAGCACAAATAATATCCATAGAGACCGACAGCAATTAGTGATGTCTCAATTTCAAAAAATTGAATGATACTGTTATGATGTCAATTATAAATCTATTGCTTACTGCTATTTAATGAAAATATTTAGTTAAATAATTTGCAAAATATGTAGCGGGCCAATTTTTCTGTGCAATAAACAACCCTCTCTTTTATCCGTAAATGATATTGCTGATCCACTTGCTGTTATTCACTAATATTGGGTTTTAATAATGTCAATCATGTGATGTCATACATGCCAGGATAGGTTCCAGGATAGTTCTTTATTGTATCTTTGTGACTTTCTACTTGGTTGCAAATGTGCAATTTTGTATCAATGGATCATTCCTGTGCTACATAAGCATTGAAAACATTTTTGGTCCAAATTCAAATCACTGATTAAAATGTCCAAGGAACATTAAGTAAAATGAAATAAAGGGTGGTTACAATACAGAACCTAAAAGCTTATAAGCACTTGCTTTGTATAGTGAATATTCATTGGAAGTGCATACATTTATGTTTTACTGAGTAGTCATTGTCTAACCAAGATAATGGGGTACACTGGCTGTCGTTTTGTCCTGTTTATGCAAAATATCAAAACTGCAGTATTCACAGGAATGATGATCTTGCCTCAAACGCACACAATTTGGTGTTCAAAACTGCCTATATAAACATGCGAAAAAGCATTAGGAACTTCCATGCACATGCTGGCATCCGGCTTCTATATTTAGGGATTATGTAAACCTTTGACTAATTATAATAGATTTTTCCTGGCATTCATTAACTATCCACCCAAGAAAACTTGCTGTATTATATACTAATGTGTATCAGGATTTTAGAGTTTGCATTTCTTCAATGTACATATTTCCATGTCCTGTTCAAATTTCTTAAAAGAACATCAGGGTAGTAAAACCATAGTTCAACTTAAGGTACTGTACATAGGAATATGTACACTGATTCATTCAATCGATTTTAGAAAATGCATCTTTCCTCATGTGCACTGTGAATATATACACAAAATTGAACTGGGGGATAAGTTATGAAGCCCAGGCTTGGAGTTCAGCCATATCATCATCATCGGTCACAGCAACCTTCTTGCGTTCACGGCCTTAAAAAACAAGAATGCATCAATGGTACCTGGAACAGTCGGTATTGCTAATAGTGTGTCATTGCTTTAAAAATGACTGTTAACAAGCTTACTAAGCAATTGAAAGTAATAATTTGTGGTAGTGAGTATTTTGAGCAGAGGCTTTGCATAAATAAGAAGGGAAAATCTATTGAGCCATTGTGCCAAACCTTAAGTATATACTGCAGATGCTTGTATTTTATTTTCATTGATAAATATCTAGTCTAATCCATGGCAAAAAGTGAAAAAATCTTGCACAAATCTCCAGGAAATTCACCCAGTCTACATATTTCCCATACAGCAACCTTATCCCTAAACAACATTACCTGCAGGGACTGGCATTTCAGTGTCCGGAACTGATGGTAGTGATGTTGTTCCAGCAACATCTAATAATCGTTCATCAAGCTCTTCCTGTTCAAGTTCTTCCAACTCAGCATTTAATTCATCCTAACAAAAAGTGAAAGCTGGTAAGCCAGGTAGCATTAATTTAATTAGAATAAGTGCTATTACGTTTGGATTTATATCTGACAATGAAAATACTGGGCTATTTCCTCAGTTATCAACATGCAAAGCACTAGTTCTGCCTCATGTAGTTGTTGGTAGACTTCATTAGAACATTGCCTGAGTCATGTGACTCATTTTACCTCATCAATATCCTGACCAAAACCAACAGGAGTTGAGATGGCACTTGCTATTTCATTTGCAATTTCATGTTGTTCGCTTATGTCATCCATCATATCGTGAACATCATCAACATCCCTATAAAATGATAAATACCATTGGGATAATAATGTGGCCAGATGCAAATGAATATAGAGTACACAACGTGCAAGACATAAGGCAATGGAGTTTTTGTTAACAAATTATATAAATTGTTACCATCAAAACATATCATTTAAATTGTAACTAATAATAATTGTGGCATACTCAAAGTGAATCAATATTATTTGCCAAACATGTCTAATTACCCCAGAAACGTTGGGTTTTTATTGTAAACAAACACAAAATATTTTGCACACTTCAAGCTTGAATACAAATGGCAGTATTTTTGTTGACAATGTTTTGACAGACCGATAATATTTTTTTGAGAAACTAAACCAACTTTTAATGAGAGGTATCCATAAATATGGGTATGTAGTTCTAAAGAAGTAAAGGTTTACATACAACTACCATTATACTTCATGGATTTAAACCATACCAATTACTGTAGCAGCTGGTATTTATGCAAAATATACTCAGTGTTTCTTGCTTTGTACAACACCAGATTAATTTACTCACGAACAAGGTACACTATCATCATTACATAAGAACCAGTTACTAACAGAAACATTAAAACTTGACACAACTTACAGCTGTTGAGCTTGTTTCAGTGCATTTGCTGCATATTTCATGCTGTTCAAAACTTCAGTATTTGTGTTAGCATTTTCCAGTGCTTGTCTTTGGAATTCGATTGTTGAAAGTGTCCCATCAATCTGTTGAAGTTGTTTCTCTAGTCTTTTTTTCCTCTTTAACGCATTTAGGGCACCTTTGAAACAAAATTAGTTATAATTGTCAGGTTTTTTGTATCACAATTTACAAGTCCTAATTCCAATGTACTAACCCCATTGAAGGCAAATATAACAGACCAATTTACACTAGAGACAGATCATTTAGGTATATAATTGAGGAGTAACAGATGATTTATCAATATTACATTATTTGCTATATTCATATGACTTTATCACAAACTATCATGTCCCTGCCCAGTACCCAAGTTGATCCCAATGGACGATTTTTCCTAGTGTAAATTGTGCTAATAATTCAGTCTGGGTCACTAGGTAGCGCAAGTTATGTGTCTTACATATCATATTGCGGTCTATAGGTAGGCACACAAGTTTTAAAATGACCAAATAACATGTTTTGAGACAAACCAATTCTCTTGTGTACCATTACAATATTATTCAACAGTTGTTATATTATTCGACAAGTATTGTTGATATGTTACTATAGCTCTTCAGAGGAAATCTTTGATAAGCTAATTCTTATTGAATACTGATTAATTTAGATTGTGATAGATAGGCCAAGAGAACTATCAATAAATATAACAAAGTGACGGCAATGTAAAATAAGACCAGTCAACAAGCATTTTTGGTCAGTCATTTTGTATTGTTCCGCTGTTTTTTTTGGGCCCTGACATTACTATATACCTAAAAGCTTGGATGCGTATATCTAAGACCACAGTATAAACTTGGACACACATACTTCTGGCTTTCCTAGGCTGAGTCAGTTTGGTGAAGAAGCGTCTGTGACAAGCCCATATAGGGGAAATGAAAACTTTCAATAGTTAAGTAAGTTAACCTTCTTGAAGCTATTCTTCCTTGTATTTGTATGAAAATGGAAGCAGAAATCAAATGCTGAGCAATAGAATATGAAGCAATAAACTAATGTACAGCAAAATCTGTGCCAACCGTGTACTTAGTAAAAATTTATGTATGAAATGCAAAGCAAAGTATAAAATGTACACTTTTGCATAAATTCGAAACAGTGAATATCGATTAAAATGAAAATACAACATTTATATCGCGTTGTTTAAAACACAACATAGTATTTAAACGATTGACTGTCCCACCTCGTTTATTTTTACTGGCATTCGTCTTGGCAATATTGAGTTCTTGATCAATTTTCTTTTCTAAATGTTCGCTTTTCTTCTGAAGCATTTCCTCAGTCGTTCGTAGCCTCTGTATCGCATCTTGTGGCGTCGGTCCTTGCTGTTTTTTCGACCCACCGCCGCCGAAAGCCTTAGCGAGGAAACTCATAACTCAATAGTTGATGAAACGATGAAAATACTGAACAAAAAGCTGAATTTTGAAATAAATTTTGATGTTTTTGCAAAAATATTTTGATGCGTCGGTGGAATTACGAAGCAGAAGCTCGAGCTGATCTCTGGGTAATTATTGTCTATTTTTAGATTGGGTGGTTTCATTACGTCATAAATTATATTCCATACTTTTCGTGCTGAATCAACAACTTTCACATTTTACGCATTGTTGTCATGTCATTTCACATGTTACAGCCTCGATTCTGTGCCGGCTTTGAGAGAAAAGGGGATCCGGAACAGTTGTTCCGTTAATTCGTCAAAATTTACAATTTTACAACTTTCTTCTCGTTTTGCTCAATAGCAATGACAGATCACACTAAATTTTAGTTTATTTTGAAATCTTTCAAATAGAGTCTAAAGATATTATTTATTATTGATGAAAGTACTTTAAATGTAAAGTAATTTATAAAATTTCATAAAATACTCAATCAATACGAACTTAGGTTGCTTTGACATTTTACAAAAAGTTGTATTTGGGTCGCATTCTCCGTGTTGATACGATTATCGATACCAACATATTACAACTTATCGATACGGAAAATGAAAAAACACAAGTTTTTTCCATTTTTCACAAGTTAATCTACTAAACTAAAAGAAACTAAAGAACTGCGGGGAAGTTTCTTGTTCACTTTGGGTTATATCATCACGTCCCCCCCCCAGAATTTAAAAATTCCATATACATTAAATTTTTTTCTTTAATCATACATTATCAATAATTACATACAATTACATTTAGTATGTGGCAATCATATTGCCAATTGTCCTTTAGCTAAGTTAAAAGATGCTGATTTACGTTTAAACTGCTTACATATATTTGTAGCCGTTTGATTGTCTGATATACAGTAACATATCATTAATTAATATACGAATACGATTACGTTTTTTGTGTGGGAATCATATTGCTATATGAGAATCATATCCCTATTATTTTACACTGGATGTCCTAAGAAGTATATACTTTAGAAAATTATACAAAGCTACCATCCCACACTCAATACGGTATACGTGCAGTCGTGCATAGTGCTTGTCACAGTTCGTCCAGAATGTAATCCATTGTATCTAGGAGACAATTGTAAACTCAGAAAAACTTCATTGCCACTGCATGCATGTAATTGTTCATGTGTAAGTATACATCTGTTTTAGGTGTGTTTTATAGGAAAACCTGGTTCCGCACTCGTTTGCTGTGCTTAATGTTTGTAAGTACATAAAGAAATTAAAATACGTATTTTACCATTGTATTGAAACACTCCTCCAGTCTCCTGCAACCCGCCATCACCACGCGGTCCTAGCGTTACGTAAACAACGTGGATGTGGTATTCCCACGTGCCATTCATACGGCGATGCTGAGAAATCATCCAAATTATTGCCCAAAACATCCTAGAAATATTAGAAATATTACTTCATGTGACATTAATGTGCATATATATTCGCTCTGTCCGACGGATTTCGTTTGTACTAGTGTATCCAAACAAGTAAATGACTTATGGGTATATTTCAATTTCATAAACTTGTTTTGAGAATTTGAGTGTTGGCAACTATATTGTCAGCTGCATGTGCTTAATAATTATACAGGTCGCATGCGGGAGCCGGCATGGTAACGGTTCAACTTTACCAAAAAAAAAGGAACAACTTTTAAAAATAGTTTCAACTGGCGGGGTATATTTCGGAATGGTCTTCAGATGCTGGCCTTCAGGATGGAGACATGCGATCTCGGGCGGCTTGGATTTCTGTTCATCAGATTTTTTGGCGAATATAAAAAACGGTATACGGTATATATTGCTTGGTATAAATTTGTTTTGAAACACTGAAAGAAAGCAAAAAGCCTTAAAAATGACGGTACTGAGTGAAGTGCTTTTGTGTGAAAACTTGTCAAATCGCACTCCAGATTCGCGGTCTGTGATTAGATTGAATGCCGATCCTCCGCATTTTTAAAATGCCATCGAGATAGAGCTTGTCCGGTGTTTCATACTTTCATTGTTTTGTTCCAATCTTTAATATTTTCAATAATTTCGTAGCAATGGACGACTTGCGCTTTAGACTAATTTTTGATCGAAGTAACTAGAAGAAAATAAATCATCACAGCTAGAAAGATCTTACTTAAATTAGTGCCAAACTTGGCAGTTTTACTAACTTTAGTAATCTCTTTCAGAAAATGCCCTTTTTTATCCCCGAGGTAGGAAAGTAGTCTAAGGCGCAAGTCGTCCATTACTGGATTTTGCAACGCATTGTCACAATGCTGAATAAATTATTCACATGCAGCCATAGATGCAGTCTAGTTTCCATTTAGTCCTAATAGTCGTGAACATGAAAATCCGCCTGGTATGAATAACTACGAGTGTAAAGGAAACATTGACCGATTAAAATAAAGAAACGAGGACAAATATCTACATGCATGCGTATTATTTTAAATCGGTGAAAATGACAACTTAAGGGCAACTTTCGTGGAATTTATACACCAGCTATGCGTCTGCATATATAGATATTATAGGGACCTTACGATACACTAAATCTACGACGCGGACGTGAAGTAATAATACTGTCTTGGACCCCGTTTGTTATTTAACTACCTTCATGTTGTACATACTCTTCTTGAGGCGATTAAAAAAACGTCCCAGCGAAGATTTGGTGAACTGAAAACTTACCCTATCCCAATTGCAAGCATTATCCAAGCCGAAGGCACCATACAGCCATGTATACCAACTTATGTTTGTTACGTTATTTGTTGATAATGGTGCAGGCCAGTCTCGCTTGTAAAATGTGTCCGGATAAACTTTGACCCACAGGAAGTCATCAGCGTGACTTGTGCATTGCCATGGTTTCAAGACAGAGATCGTAAAGCTTAAGTTGACCAATAATTATTGGGCGGAAACAAACTTTACATATTGCAATACTATGACATCAATGTACAACAAATGGCAGTTTAATAATATCTCTCGACCTACTTTTGTCCACTTTGGCTTGCCATAATTAATGCTCATATAATCATATATACTTATCACTTTATACAGATTTAACGAGCAGTGTTCTCCAGTACAGAATTATAATAAAAATTCAATTGTGGCTGTGGCATTTCATTGTTCGATAATCTCTAGACTTCCAGAATTCAGTACTCGCGTTTGCGATGCCGCCCATGCAAGGTTTTGATGTATCGAGGAGGCTACGATGTATCAAGCCTTAGGAATTACAATTACAATTACAACAGGCAAACTTGAAATGATATAGTTGCAAGAATGCAATATAAGAGTTGATATGGATTACGGTGATACGAATTCATATTCGGGTAATATACGGATGATTATAGTGATACGAATATGATCGTGGATACTATATATCGCTACTTTGAAATTAAACGAATAATTGATAAACAACTATAAGAATTACGAATACAGATTCTTCGTACATATAGTGAATGTCTTACCTTATTCCAAATATTATTCCGATGCTTGGCATGCTTGCGAATATGTAGTCTCTTACGAATATGATGTCGCTACGAATATGATATTTGATCCTTTGATTCATTTCGTTCGAAGATGTTTTGCACTCACTTTTGCTGTTGGCGCATCAGCGGAAACGAAATTAAATATGTGAACGTGGGAACTTTGATTGGTGGAAAATCAATGCATATTTGGCATTGAAATATCCGAGCATTGATTGGTTGTTTGCCAATCCACATTTGCCTGGCGATAAAGACTGCATGGTTTTCATTGGGTTTCCAGTTAGGACAGTTACGGGAAAATTATCGCTACGCATTTAAATGAATATGAATTTATAAGATATAAAATGAAGTATTATAAGCACAACGTATACCGATTTATCTGCCATCATATGAAACAGAGCATGTTTTCAATCAACCTCGCAAGCCAGGCTTTTCTACCTACGGCTACGCTCCGCAGCGTTGACCGTGGAACGTAGACAGAAAAGCCTGGCTTGCGAGGTTGGTTTTCAATTGGGCAAAACCACACACACTTCAGTGCAGACCTTTCGCCGCGAATATTTTAAGGAGTAGATCTCAATTGATTGTTGAACTCCAAATAAATCCCGTTGTCTCAACGATTCGCCGATTACTCGCCTTCTTAATTCGATTGTTCATTCATTCATGTTCATGTTACTTTACTAACCCGATCGCTTAAACACCTACTCCATCACTTCCGGGTAAATCAAATAGGTTGAATCATATAAGATCATGCTAATGTAAACTTAAGTAATAATAAATAAAAACTGTAAAGTGTCCGATCTCGAATGTATTTGATGAGTATATTTTTAGGTGAGAAATAAAATCATCCCACCCGTTTCTTGAAAAGCAACAAACTAAATTTGAAAACTGAGTTGGTTTTGCAATATTACTGTGCTCCGAACAGTAAAAGTATACGATTTTACGTTCGATATATAGCTGTTTAATTAATCGCCCGATAAAATGGCTTTCGGGAATCCGAAAAATGGGGAATCCCCTAATTACAAAATGACACCCCCGCAACTCATTCGCGACGCGTGTTAGAAAGACTCGTATTCAACAGTCTGAAGCTCGTCAGTATCCACTAACTTATCACACTTTGTTAAATATTTATCACGCTCTGATAACTAGTTGTCACGTAAACACAACATGCAAAACAGTCTCTCTTCTATTTTATATCTATTCTCATGCGCTAAAGTCATATGAAAAAGTCTTTTATTCGTTGCTGAAATGTCATTTGGATATGACGGTTAATGAATGACTACCCGTGCGACACGGGATAAAAGTTAATGGCAATGAACTTTTATTGCTATAGCCTTATGGTTCTTACATGACTTAATTTACAGCAAACAAACATATATACGCAAGCGAACGAATATCCCAAATCATATAACTCTGCATGTATACCAGTAACGCAGGATCAGAACAGAAGATCGACAGAACGGGGACATTTCTTTTTGCTTTTACGCAGACACATATTATACATCAAAGGGGTGAACTTTTACTGTTCAGTCCAGAGGCGCGCTTTCATGAATTTATCTGCAATAGCCAATGGCTATGATATGAATGAATATTGTAATTGTTTACGC